TGGGGGGGGGGGGGGGGGGGGGGGGGGGCAACAAAAAGAAGGTGGAGGTGGGCAAATGCTTTCTTTTTACACCCAATCCTATGATGACAAAAAACAAACAGAAAATTACGTCATTAAATAGAATAGCTATTGACTAACCCAAATTTGACCATTTCAAGTTACAGTTCAGTAGCTGGTCTAAAATGAAAATCCTAAATCATTGACTTCTCACAAACTAGACAAAGACAGGATATGTGTTATGGTTAGAGTTATTGTAATAGATTACGTTTATACAAACAGAGTGCAATGGGGTTTGAAACAATTCATCATAAATCAAAGTGCATGTAATGTAAATGTACACAACTTGCTAGGATCAGTATCAACATTAACATGACAATGGCTGCTGTACACGATACACAAATAATACATGGTATTGTTTTATATAAGAGATGGCATTGTTTCATATTAAGAGATATACTGTAATCATACAAGAAGAGATGTTGGGTTTCTTAACAATGAGACCAAATTGGAGCCACAAGAAGTCAAGAAGAGATTGTTTAAGTATTCTAAGCAAAGGGAAGTAACCTAAACAACATTTTGCAAACTGTTTTGTAGCGTATAGTGTGTTTCAATGCAAAGAGCTAAACTAAAGTCATCTCCTTAAAAAATGGACTGTAGCAGTAGGTAGAACAAATGCATTTGAAATTTGATTACTATCCCACTATTTATTCTATTCTATTTCTCTTGCCTCGGTTGTGGAGAATAAAATTAATAAATTAAAATTATAAATAAAATACTGTACTACCACTACCAAATAAAATACTAATACTAAATAAGTAATCAGCTGTTTCATCATATTGTCATCAAAATGTCCTGCCAAATTTCTGGTTCTTTTCATCAACAGCCTGATAGATGATTCCATGCCTTAAGTTTAACACTGTGTCACACAGTGTGTGATGATTCCATGCCTTAAGTTTAACACTGTGTCACACAGTGTGTGATGATTCCATGCCTTAAGTTTAACACTGTGTCACACAGTGTGTGATGATTCCATGCCTTAAGTTTAACACTGTGTCACACAGTGTGTGATGATTCCATGCCTTAAGTTTAACACTGTGTCACACAGTGTGTGAGGCTGTTCTTTGTCCGGATCAGTTTGAACATTTGAGGAAATGTGCTGTGACTGTGATTCAGACAGGCTCATTCATGTCAATTTCTACAATTTTCCTCCATCATTTTTTCTTGAGATCTTCCAAGTTAAGTGTTTACTTTGACTACCTCTGACATGATATGTTGGTACAATGCTTGTGTGCACTTCTTCACATTGGACAGTCTGCACCTTGGGAACATAATGGATTAACAGAAGGTACCAAGAGTCCATGGATTGGATTAACAGAAGGTACCAAGAGTCCATGGATTGGATTAACAAAAGGTACCAAGAGTCCATGGATTGGATCCACTGGTCTAATAAAATCGTCACTGGTGGAGAAGTACTCTAAATGGTTTATATTATTATGTAGTACCAAATTAGTACTATTGAATCCAGGCCCACAACCAAAATAGTACTATTGGACACAGGCCAACAACCAAAATAGTACTATTGGATACAGGGCCACAACCAAAATAGTACTACTGAAGTCAGTCAGACCCACAACCAAAATGGTAGTATTGGTACTCCTACTTGGAATTTTATGATTTAGGTAACCAGTAAATAAAATAATTTTCTACAGATGATTTTTTTTAAATTAGTTTACTGCACCAGGCTCAATACAAAATTGTTTAGTTAGAAGACACTATCAGTAAGTTAGTTAGAAGACACTATCAGTAAGTAAGTTAGAAGACACTATCAGTAAGTAAGTTAGAAGACACTATCAGTAAGTAAGTTAGAAGACACTATCAGTAAGTAAGTTAGAAGACACTATCAGTAAGTAAGTTAGAAGACACTATCAGTAAGTAAGTTAGAAGACACTATCAGTAAGTAAGTTAGAAGACACTATCAGTAAGTAAGTTAGAAGACACTATCAGTAAGTAAGTAAGTTAGAAGACACTATCCGTAAGTAAGTTAGAAGACACTATCAGTAAGTAAGTTAGAAGACACTATCAGTAAGTAAGTTTACCATATTGAATTTATTGTAGATATCTCAGGATTGAATGAAAGTTATTGTCTTAAAATTTCAATACTGAGTTTTTGATCTGTCTTTGGACTGACTTTATTTCAGTTGTTGAATAAAATATATAATATTAATACACATCCATTCATGATAAGGAAGGCATATAGTTTCAAAACCAATATTTTAGCCTGATTTTGTTACCATATGAATAAGAAATGTAAGCTGAATCTCAAATACACCAATATTACATCAAACATTATTTAAATCACAGTCATGGAAAGAAATGAGTAACTGCCATTTCCCAGCTCCCCATCAAGTACTAGTAGACAAACTGACAACCATTATTTCCATGATTTCAGTGACTACTGACACCAGCTTTCAATATTTCAAGTGCCTCTCAGACAACTGACACCAGCTTTCATGTGCCTCTCACTACTGACACCAGCTTTCAATATTTTAACTGCCTCTCAGACAACTGACACCAGCTTTCATGTGCCTCTCAGACTACTGGCACCAGCTTTCAATATTTCATGTGCCTCTCAGACCACTGACACCAGCTTTCAATATTTCATGTGCCTCTCAGACTACTGACACCAGCTTTCATGTGCATCTCACACAATTCAATGATACAATTGATACTAGGCACAACATACAATTGGTATTCAACCCAACTTTGATCATGGCATTGTTATGTCCTGATTACTTGTCAAATATCACTTTTGCATCACAAAGCCTGCCTCAGAATTTTTTTAAGAACATATCCTTGTCTTTTAAACAAAACCTACCTAGTTCTTTAGAATAGAACTACCTAGGGCATAACCAACCTCAGACTTGACATAACATGTCATTTACACAAATATATTTTGGACAAAGTCTACATATGACTATTGAACAAAACTTACCCAAGACTTTGGGACACACTTATCTAAGCATTTCGGACTATCTAAAATAATCATATTTCTGATTATCGGTAAAACAATAAAATTTAATTACTTTTACTTTTAACATTTTGAAGTGAAATTTACAAACATTGATTAATTTATTTTTTTTAAATAATTTTATATACCATCTATCTGTCAATGACAGTGTCAGCAGAGTAAAATTTAGGTGTATTATCAATTTAGTATCCATGTTGTCATTTATAAAAAATTTGAATGATCCATCTTAATGTTACAACGTATGATAATTGATCAAAATAGAACAATTTTGTCTATTAAAAAATAGGCTAGAGTAACTCAAGATTAAAATATTTAAATGACCAATATTCACTGCTCTTATTTTGAAATCGTAATGCCGAGCGCAAAATCAAAACAAACATAAATATGTAATGTAAGTCACTTTTTTCTTATTGAAAGCATAACAAATTTATTGGATTACATAACAAAAAAAAGAATTTGAAGATTTTTTTTAAAATGTGCAGGGGCATTTTAAAATTGAAAATATGTCGTAACTGATGCAGTATTCTTTAAACATTTTTACGGTCTCTTCCAATATGTTACATAACTCCCTAATATATTTACATGAAGACCAAAGGAATCAATCATGGTTTAAAATCAAATTTCTGAACCAGATAATTGTGCACGAAAGAAGGAAAAAAAAAAGCAATGTCACTTACCTTCTTTGTGACTAAACCAACTTAAAGGATATGGGATAAAACCTACCAAAGACATTTTAGAAGGTCAAAAATGGAGCTGAATTTTTGGAGTCAAAATATTTCTGCCATTTCAATATAATATTTACAAATCTGTAGTGGCCCATTAATGTGAATAAATATAGTTGTTCAGCAGGTTTGCTACAAGTGTGACATGGATCAACTCTGTAGGAATGTGGAACAGATCCAACCATGTTCTAATATTTGACTATCTTCTTGACTCACCTCTGCACATTTGCTTATTACAAACTTATAACTCTTAGTCTTACACTGGTGGGTAGTATAAACAAAGATGAAAGCATTCGCGACAATCTGTATATAGACCAATCATGCCATTCCCCAAAGTGTATATAGTTTCAATATTATATTTAACAGAGGTAACTAATGATGGGCTGAAAGTAGCTTTGTATTTAAATCAAAGTAAAACAACACGGCCATAAATGGAACTCATCAACTAGAAATTATCAAGTAAAAGCAGTCTAAAATGTTCAGTCATTCGAATACATTATGTTGTTTTAAAATGATTGATATTAGTTCCATAATATCTTTGTAAAGAAAATATCTTTTATTAAACAAAACGTATCAAACAGTTTGCAACATGTTTTAAGGTATTCTTTAATATAAAAAAACTTGAGACTGTTTCAAGTCTTTTCAATTGTTAACACATATACATACTGGCTCCTTCTTAATAAATACAGAGGTCATGAGGGCTTCATTCCTCTAGAAACAATATCAGAGATGAAAATCTCAACAGAAATGTAAGACAGTCTCCATGTTAGAAATGCTCTGGTTTGAACTAACATTGGAACTATTTAAATATCTTCCAGAGGAGGGTGCTTCAATTCTAAGACTTGATCATGTATGTTACAAGGAATATTACAATGTCCATGTAAACTATTATATTATAAGAACTGTTGAGTAAACCAAATATATAAAGATGTTAATTACTGTTTTCAATGTTTCTTGTCACTGAAAATATAAATGTACAAGTTCACCTTATTTTCTCCCAAATGTTCATCAGTAAAACTGACAACTTGGATGTAAATAATACCAATGTCAAGTTCCATGATAATCATAGAGAGAAATATGGTATAAGATTTGTAGCAACTTGCAAATCAATCAATAGGCCGTAAGTTTTAAAAGTATATATAGGATGAAATAATGGCACCTCATAGCAATTGTTAACGTGCTGTTCATCTATCCATGATTCCTGTTACAAAGCTGAGAAATAGTCAATATAACATTTGCCTGTTTCATAGATTTAAAGGAATTTCCCCCGTTTTCTGGATGGTGATTCCATGTTGACATCCATTGCTGAGGAGGAACTAGTGCGTTTTCTGTGTTCTGAGTTACGAGCTCGGTCATCATGATACAAAATGTCATCAACTGCAGGTGACCTAGAAAATGAGCTCATTGTGCAGGAAGTTGTGGAGCTGGGTCGGTTGTAGCCCATGTTTATATTTGACATTGCACCATTCAAACCTGAAAATGGCATTTTCAACTATAAATATTTGCCTCAATTATTAACTCACAATGAATTGAATTTTTTATTAACCCACAAACTGTGACATGCATTATTCTGTGGTGTGGAGCTTTTCAGAGCATTTTGGGTGACATTTGAAATTGCATTAAATGACATTGAAAAATTGATACAATACCCCAATAAGTATATATTTTGAGAAAGGTAAATGGATGGGAATAAAGGTGGCTGTATTGCCCACCCCGTAAAAAGATTTGCTTAGTGTCCTTGACCTTGGAATTCTCAAGAAAAAAAATCGACAAAATGTCTTGCTTTCAAGTGCTCATAACATCATATATTTTTATGATACACTTAAAACACAAAACTAAATGTTGTAGCCAATTCATTTATCTTTCAGAAAATGTATAGTTGCTAAGCTTTTGATTGCAATTAAACATCTGAAAGCAATTTTAGTAATTTTAGGTCATTTATATAAGAAACTGGGGACCACTGCTAAAACCAAGTACAAAATACAAAATCTCAGGCAAAATAGTTATTATTGACTAGTAAACATTTAAAAAGGAACTGTGAAACTGATTAGGTTTGTTTAACTATAAAATTTATTAGTTCTGAACTATAATCTGTAGATTCTGTGACTAAAATTCAGTCAGTCCTTGCCCAACCTTCGGCCTCGCTCGAAGTCTCACAGTAGCCTCAGTAGGCCTACCTCAGTATCACTAAAACTAGTAAAAAATTCACAAAAAGAATAATCTCAACTGATTTCGTCATGAGGAATGTTAAAATCAACATCAGTATCACTTAAAACCCCTCCTAAAAAGCTTTCAAACATATTTCTATTTGTTCTTGCACTGGAGGCCCAGCCATAGCGTCATCCATTTTAGCTTTAAAAAAACAGCGATAATAAAACTCTGATTAAAATGTGTTTATTTTGCCGTTACCACGAAACATCTTGAACCGGAAAATGATTTAACTATTAATAAAAGGAAGTGGCTATAATTCCGGTTAAATATTGGATTGGAAATTGCTTTCAGACTGTGTTTTTTATCGGCCGTTTTTTTCGGCCACCACAGCACAGAACGAGAATGTTGGCCCATTTTTTTGGCCGACCACAGTTTGTGAGTTAACATTCTCCAAGAATATTATATTTGCTGATTTGTCGAGGGTAAGGAAGACTATGGTAAACCATAGGAGGTTAGGCCTGGAGTATCCACATAGCTTTTAAAACCATTCTGTCTAATAAGGTCTTTACCGTTTTTAACATGAATCACTTTAGTTTTCTTACATATGAAGTCATCTTTCTACTACTACTAGAAACATTTTTAACAAGACATTTCAATTCTATGGACCGCCTAAAATTTGATTTTATGTGGAAACAATACTTGGAGCTTTAAGATATGACCATCTATGTGGAAACAATACTTTATCGAAGCAAACCGCGATTTCCTAATCATTCGTCAATCATCAATTGATCCGATTGTGGTTCATCCTTTTACAAGGCTAAAAAATAATTCAGACTTTTTTTAAAAAAGCTTTTCTTAATTAAATTGTTAAATCTATTAAAAGTGGTGGGTACAATGGTATTAATAAACATATTTTTACACCCCCCACCCCCCCCCAAAAACATCCCCATACAATTGCAGCTAAAAAACAAGTCAGTGTCTACATGTCAGGCGACCGGACAAATAGTGCGGGAGATATTCAACTGGCAGGCATGTCACGATTTATAAAAAACAATGCCACTTTTAACCAATCGTTCATTATATATACCAGCAATGGTTCTAGTATTTCTTTTGTAGAATTGATTTATTTTTCCATGTAAAAGTCCAGACTATCTTGAATTTGTTGAAATGAAGTACCATAAACTCTGACAATTAGAGGTCACATGACAAAGCTGATGAACAAATATCTCGCGCATAATATCTCGCTGTGATTTGGTCAAAAATATAGTGGCAGGGCGAATATCTCGAGAACTTATTCACTTACTCCTTTGGTCGCCGGACTTAGAGAAACTTTGTAAAAACAAATGGAAAAATTCCTGTCGTACCCGATATTTTTTATTTTTATTTTTTTCTATGGTCGCTTTCGGATTTTTTTTATCTAGTGAAAAATTATAAAGTTCGCAAAATCTGACATTTTAAGGAGTTTGTTGGAAGGTTGAAATGAGGGGTGAAAAATCTGTATAATTCCGACAAAATCCCAAGGGTTGGCAGGTCTGATGTAGTGGTCATGCACGGGACTCCTGAAGTAATATTTTACTTTCTGATAATTTATTTTTAGAAAACACATTAAAAGAAATATAATTAAAATATTTATGCACTCTTTTATAGTATAGCCACATATACTTAAAATAAAAACAAATGAGTACCCCTTAAACTTAAGCATATTTTTTAAATACTGTATAAAAATAAAGTTTTTCATCCTATAAATTGCTAATAAATCAAATCTTGCAAAAATGTTCATTTCAGTTTAAATGGCATTATAGATACCCGGTATTTAAAATTTTTTAAAAAATGTAATTGAAAATAGCTGCATTTATTAATAAATAGAGCTGTACCAGTATGCCAGTTGCAAATCATAGCTCTGATGGAATATCTCTTTGGCAGGCACTCCCACAAATAGTACAGAGAAAAATATTGAAATGATTGTAAATAATCCATAACAAACAGCATGATCCTAATTATCATATGTTTCACTAACTTGATCATATTCAGATTAATATTTATCAATACCTTGCAGTGCATATGCTTCCATTACTTGATATTCCCCTGAATCAATCGTTTCTGTCTGGTGAGAAGAACGACGTGGCAACTGTCTTTCTATACTTCTGTTTTGTCTGTTTCTGTGATGGTGTGCATGAGCCGGCAAACTTTTTCCACACAAGTATGCCAAAAGTTCATCTCTTCGTATACACTTTCGTTTTTTTCTTGCCCAAGCAGCAATATCTCTTGCGCGACTATTTCTTCCACTCTGTACTCCAAGTCTCAGGCACTCACGAGCATTATTAAGACTATCTAAAATATACAAATATGCACAACAAATTAAATATTAAAAAAAAATTATAGTGAAACATTTCTACCGTATACTTAACTTTCTTTGAGAGACACAGAATCTCTTTTTAAAAAGTCTACATAATTTCTATAATATGTTTTTAAAAAACGTAAACGAGTAGCTTCCATAGTCAAATTTCACCAATTATTACCTTTATAAAATTTTGTCAACGATTCGGCAGCTTTATTAAAAGGAACCAAAAGAACATAACCATCATGAGCTGCATCTGAAATAATTGATGAGATTTTATAATAAATTGTTAAAGCAATTGAAATCAACTGCCTTTAGAAAGTTCAGGTTCAAGTCATGAAATGCCTGAAAAGAAAGTGTCTCTAAAACAAACGAACAATTCTATTCCACATTATAAAGTCGTGACATATTTGAGACCACCTTCAAAATAAATGAAATGCATTTAGTTTGAAATAGTTTAAAATAGAAATGCTGACCGTTGTAAATAAATGTTCACAGCATATTCATTTTAGATATAGCATTATCCAGTGCTATAATCTGGATTTTTTTTTTATAATTTTTTTTCTAGTTTGAAACAATTTTTTTCCCCCTCTTTCTGCTGTATTGTGATATTTCAATATAGGGAATGTTGTGTGCACACAAAATAAGGTATCAAATTAATACTTATGCATAATCTAAGCAGTAGTAAATAGGATAACCCTTAGCAATGTATCGTTTTATTCTAGATTAAGAATACCAAAATATCAAAATATTGACAAGGAAATAATCACCAAAAGGGTGTGTTATGTAATATCTAGCCCCTGAAGCCTCTAGGGCAAAGTAAATTTGCAATATGTAGAAACTCAAGATGTGATAGAAAATTGATCAAATTGAGCAATTTAAAAATATTGAGATAAATAATAGACTTACAAGTTTTAGTAAAAATTTTACAAAATAATTTTTTTTGTTTAAACATGAAAGTTTCAATTAATGTCTATTAATGCTATCTAAATATATAATTATATTGGTATCCAACAGCCAGAATGTTGTCTTTTAATCAATGTACATAATGTGCATTAATAAATGTAGGTACTTCAGTAAAAACATGTCAAAAATTTTTTTTTTAAATATTAGTTATTTAGAGAAAATTTAAAATTACAAAATGAAACCAGAAGCAACTTTTTAGCTTGAGTACTTTTTGAGCTACGAATTTTTAATGTGCGAGTTTGTTTGGTATTTTCCCTCATGGACAAAGCCTCCACATTTTGTCACCTTATTCTGCTGATCATGTTATGCGCAATGACTATATTAGTATAAGGCATTGCATCCCCTCATTACTTATTTTGAACCTTTAACTTTGGCACATGACTATTTAATTAAAGCTTTCCTTGACTAATGGTTTATTAGTTTTTGCACACTGCTAACTCTTATGAATGAAACTCTGAGGTAGTGCTAAGGAAGCCAAAATGCAAGTGACTGTGAATGGCTGCCCATGACAATGTTTTGCACACAGCAAATTATGATCATTTATAATATGGACTCTACCGGGTTTTTAAACCTCAAATTAAAACATTTATTTAAATAACTTCTAGGTTCATTCTAAAACACAAGTGCTATATTTTGAGAAATAGGTACTTATTTTTAATTATGAAAACTTTTTTGTTGTTTGCTATTTCTTCTTGCGGAGTTCAAAAGCCGGTGATTGGTCATGGAGATCAAGATAACCTACGTCAAGTGGCAAATTTGGCCCCCTTTTGTTTTCGAGATATTAGGGTTCGGCGACATAAAAGAATTGACGTAGCCGATGAGAAAATGCTAGACAAATAGAGAATTTGGCGGTTCCATGTCAAAAACATTGACAGCGTTGGCAAGTTAAACCGAGGTTAAGATGAGTGGGTTCGACTGTAATAATAAGGTGGTTGCTAATTATTAGTAATATGTGGTATGAAAATGAGAGCTACTTTGTTACATGCCAACTGAGGGATCAAAAACTGTTTTTAAAAAAATCCCAAAATAATGTATAGAAAAAAAAATAATCCCAAAATAATGTATAGAAAAAAAAAACAGTTAATTTATATAACTTTTTCATTTAAAAAATCAATGTTTTGAATGCATGCAATCTTTGCATTTCAGATAATTTCTGAATTTATTTGAAATCTTAATGACTTGTTAATTTTGCTATGTAAAATTGATGTGATTACATTCACCAAAAGTTGATTTCTGAGTCTGAATTAGTTTGGATTTCTATAAATTATCTACATAACAGAGCTGAGAAAATAAAAAACATTAAAAAAAAAGACTTTCTAATGAAAGTGTAGATGAGCACTCTATGACGCCAAATGATTTGAATTGAATATAGACTAAATATGTTATATTTTTCAAAGTGACTGGGCTCACTGGGTTGGCCATGTTGAGCCAATATATGCAGCTTCTCAGAGCTCAATGTTTTATTGTGACAATGCACAAGCGCAATACAACTGACACTTCCTGTTTCCAACCTCTTTTCGACAACACTCCGCTGTCACCAGATTATAATAAATCTATCTGATATCTAATAAATGTCTGTAATTGAGCTCCAATGTTACTATATTAAAACACACAAAAAACTGAGGCTGCGTTGTGTTCTACTCTCTCTTCTTCTTTGATAACAAGGGGGAGATACTGCAATCAGGTTATCAAAAAGGGAAATAAATAAAGCAAAGAATGTGAAAACCTGAAAAATGAACGCAACAAAAGAAAGAATGTGTCGGCAGGAAGCCTTTGTCAGCAAGCAAACAACAGAAAAAACAGAATTAAATTAAAAAATAACAATTAGCTGAAAAATAGTATCCGAGAGGGCAACAAAAGAATTCTTTTGAATTAACAAGTATTAAAGAAACTATTTTTATTTTTTTACCGGTAATAATCTTAAAGTAGTTCTATGTAAAACTACAATCAATAGATTTGGGTCTCCAAATAAGGTGGTGCAGGCCATACTACCGGCCACAGTTCATTCAAAATTATCATATTAACTCTTTCAGTGCCAATCGACAGTATACTGTCGATTTGAGTGGTCACGTTCGTGCCAACCCACAGTATACTGTCGATATCATTAATGTAGTTTATTTCGTTTCCTGTGGCTCTTAATCAGACTTTTTTTGTTTTTAAACGAAGGATAACTCTTACAACTTCCTTTCTGTTACAAGTAGGGCTTGTTTGAGAGTGTTTTTCTAATTAATATTTCGATTTTTGTTGAAAATTTTGTAAACAAAGCCATGGCTACGCCCACTCCAAGCATGTCAGCTGTTGCTAGACCACGTAGGTAGTCAATTTTGCAAATAAAAGAACTTTTATTGCTAATTATTGATGCTGAAACAACAGACAATAACCATGAATCATTTGAATCTGATTCCAATGATGATTTTCAGCATTCTGATGGGTCGGTAAATGGAAATAGTAATAGAATGGTGATAGTACTGATAGTAATAGTAATACTAGTAATAGTGGTACTGTCGGCAATTTCATAAAAATTTCAAAACATTTTTTAAAATATAAAAATACCACGAATGGATAGAGCCTAGAGAATGGATTAAAAAAACACCCAGATCAACTTTCTAGCTCAAGTAGTTCAAAAGTTATGAATTTTTTTCAAAACCACTTTGTTACTATGGCAACAGTGAGGATTCAGATAAGAATACTCCTAACGTTACAAAAATGGGTATAACTCCGTAACAAAATGGAATATTTTCAAAATGTAAAATGCATTATGATCAAAAATGGATATACTTTTTGGGGATTGAAGCAGAATAGGATATCAGCAACACAGACCATATGGTAGTCTGATAAGTTCAGATTTTGTGTGCAATTTTAAAAATATAAAAAATTTTATCTCACAATTTTACCTAAAAAATTTAACTTATTGTTGTTAAATTGTTTTATATTTTACATATTATTATTCTCTGTCTAATTTCATGTAATTTGATATGAAATAAAGCTATCTTGCTAAAAGAAATGTATTCAAAATTAATTAATAGATAGGAGCACCCTAAAAAATTTCCCATGCCCGAATACTGGTCTGGCGCGAACGTGGAAAACCCCCTGGCATGGAAAGAGTTAATATATCATTAAATTTTCTTGAAGTTATATTTAATAAATTCATATATTATATAGCATTACTATTTAATGTTTGATTAATTTTTTTTGTCAATAAAGCTGTATAATTTTTATAATTAATAATATTTTATTTTTACTGAAACCACTGAGGCAACATTCAATTATTCGAGTGTGAACGGAATCACTGCACTCTACCCATTGAGAATTATGCAGTAGAGTGCTTTGAATTGTATTCTACCCATCGCGTAATATGCACTGGATATGTCTCACTAAGAATTACATAAACAGATTTTTAATTAATGTTTAATACTCAAATAGTTACTATCATAACATGCTGTCTATGAATAAATTATATGAATGATTACCGCAAAAGCTATATTCATGGGCGCCCGCTACATGGGTGTCATGGATCAAGAAGTCCAATGACCCCCACACCCCCTATTGAAAATAATAAATTAACACCCTTGCAATAATATTTGTGGCGAAAAGGGGTTACAATACTAATCACTAGGAGATCAAAAGGTATGGAGGAGATTGGAAAAGATTCTCTTAGTTTGGATTAATTTGATTAATGAAAACCCACTGGCTGTGGGTGTGGTTTCTGAGACAATAATTTGTGAAAAAGCAAATTTCCTCCACAGCCACTTAGTGAAAGGCCTGCCTGATATTAGTGCTAAAGCACCTAAAAGGAGGAGTTTAAAGCCAGTAGGCTGAGTAGGGGTGGTTTGAGAACTTTAACTTAAGAAAAAGACTAGAGTTTGTGGGACCCGGAAAAGGATTAATCTATCTAGCTTTATTATTTGAAAAATTGTCTTGATACTTGATTTGGTACTCAAAGAAGGTTCTGGAACAAATCAACTATGTACTCCAAAGTTCAACCTTAAATTTATGACGTGTGGACATAAATTTTGAGCATCAGTTGAGGACTTGATCTATCTTAGTTGATCATGAATCATACTTGATGATATCGTAGGCCTAAGGTTGGGATTTGTCTATATCTATAGTGTAAATAATTAATTATAATATTATAAATCATATATTACAATATATACCTTTATAATTATACAATTGCGCTATAGCAGTTGATGTGTGTTGGAAGCCCAACCAAAGTTGTTGAGTTAAATGTTCCTCTGCTGACTGAAGTCGAGGTTCCACTCTACCTTGAGTTTCTAATTCGTCTAAACATTCATCTTCAAAGTTAGAAAACCAATGATCCGGTGATTTGTCACTATCTTGACCGTCTTCTTGGCTCATTGTACTAAAATATAATGTGTAAATTGTAAACTTATAAACATTTACAACGATTTTCTCCTACAAAATATGTCTTCAACGACGACTTTACTCAGAAGCCGTCGTATTATTGACCATTGACAGCCTTTTTTTCTCTAACGGAAAGAGACTTCAGCGCAAGCGCATAATGAATGCCAGGTATTTTCGCGATTTGGGATTTAAGCATTACCCGTTCGCGATGTGCAAAATTAATAATTATGCTGCTATCTTTCAATACAGAATAAAAGAAATGAAGAGGACAACTTTAATCCCATGATGTAAACTCAGATATGTAAGTTTCATTCTCCAAGGATTTATTAATTTTAATGCTTATAACATAAATAATATATATATATATATATATATATATATATATATATATATATATATACTATATATATATATAAATCTTTTATTTATATATAAAAAATATAAAAACACGAAAAAACAAAACATATATATGTGTTTCTCTATCAAAATATTTATTAATTTTAATATATAAAAAATAAAAAATATATATATATATATATATATATATATATATATATATATATATATACTATATACATATACAACTCTTTTATTCCTACAGAAATAATGTTCAAACACGAAAAGACAAAACAGCAATGGTAAGTAATAAGAACTTGCGTATAATATAGAAACATTTAAAATTCAGAGAATTTATTCATTCATTAAATTTTCGAAGTCTTCATTTTTCTAACTATGTAGGCCTATGTACCTGCATTTCAGCAGTTACAATAATATTGCAGCATAAACTATTTTAATATTTAAGTGTGCTGTGTCGGCATCGAGAGGACTGTTAGAATATTTAAAATTATGATCTAATATTGATTTGTAATGCATAAACTATTTTTACTGACATTTTAAACATTACCAATATGGGACATTTTAAATATTTTAATAAGAATAATTTTCTCTCTGATGGAAATCGCAGTAGTAAATAGTTGAACTGAAAGTACACTAATATTCACGTATTGCCAAATTGTAGTTCTAAGCAATTCGGCACAGAAGGAATAACTCAATCACCAATGGCCCTCTGAAACTAACCAAGTTTTTTTTTATCTATCCCTTTCTTGTTAGAAGTAGCAAAAATAAATGTGGATTGTGTATATTCAAATTCAAAATGACAGCTAAAGTATCACCGATTGACAGTAAGTTTTTAAAGTAAATTGATAATATTTGCAAAGGAACCCATACTGCCCCTAACCGCGAGACGGCCATCTTGTTTATTTTTGTTCACATCCCGGCGCCTGTAATCGAAGGTCTCTGAAACCAATTTGTTTCATAGCAGTTTGCCCCGTCACAGGGGTAGAATCTGCAGACATTGGGCGAATTGCTAGTAAGCACGTAAAGGTGACCGTCTCGCAGAGAAGTCTTCAGACTCCCGGGCGAGATAAACAAACGGTCACATCACCGCAGGCTAATGATATGATGAACAACGTCAACATGATGAACCATGTAAACGACATTGTCATCAACAACGATGGTATAAAAGCTGAGGCAGAAGACATGGATACAGATCAGGATGGTGCGTTTAGTTATAATAGTCGTTTCATTTCAAAATGAGTATTCATTGTGGTATACTTAAAGTGTAGATTTTATGTGGTTTTGGACTTGGTAACAATGATTTTAGAGGATACTCACCACTCTAGTGCACTGACCATTGCCATTATTATTGTAATAATATTATAGACATTACAAAGTTGAATCATTGTATTTCTCATTTGTTAGTTAAACCTAAAAATTTTGTCTAATATTAATAGTGTATTAGTGGGACCTATTTTGCTGTCGTAAACAACACACTATCACTAACATTACGACAAAGGTTGATTTTGGTTAGCGGTAAAGCTGGTGATGTGTTCTGCTGTATAGGTCACGGTGGTTCCGCCAGGTCAAATTCCATGTACAGCACCGTATTTAAAAGATTTCCATATTTATGTTTGTGTTCACTTAGTTCAAGTTTTTGCTTTCTTATTTTATTATTGGGGGGGGGGGGGGGGGGGGGGGGCGCGCGCACCCTCTCCCCAAAAGATCATTTTGCACAAGATCACACTGCAAACTCTTATGAATCATTTTGCACACAGAAAATTATGATAGTTTATAGTATGGACTCTACTGGGTTTTTTAACTTCAAATGAAATTATTCCGGTTTAAATGCTTTCTATATTCATTCTGAAACACTAGTTATCAAATATTTCCTAAGATTTTGCGCAGACACCCATTTCCTATACAATTTAAGCAGTAGTCTCTCTTTTGTTACAGAATTTTAACATGTGTACTTCGATTTCCGACTAATCAAAAGACAGCACTTTTAGCGTGCATCTTTTTTTTTTCATGTGTTGGGATTTGGGATATCAGGAAGGATGTGTTTCTTTTGGCACGTGTTCGTTGAATTTTAATAAAATTTATGGAAAATTTCATTTTAAAATTCTTCATTTTAACTTTATCGATTGTAATATTTAGTCTATGACGCCAGTAATGACCAGTGAGGAACATGAAAGTTATCACACACATCGTTCAGGTCCTAAAATTGGTCTATTCACCCTAAGTCCAGTGTTGGGATTTCCCAAAGTGACGTCACTGGGCTTAGGGGGAGACAACTCTTGGCAAAACCCATACTGTTAATCAAAAATTTACCCATTGAAAGGTTTGCTGGGCTTGGATTGTGTAAGCGTTAAGGCTAGCGATGTCTTCCACTGTGTAGGTCATGAAGGCATTGAAGGTTCTTCAAGTCAACTACTGACCATAGTTATGCATTCAAATGATTTTGTTTTTCAACTTTGTGTTTATTTGATAAAAGGGTAAACTTTGCATGTGTTAAGTACTACTTTTCTTTTACATGGTCGCCATCTTTTTTGCAATGGCAGTAAACATATTTTGTACACAATGCATAAGAAAAAATAGGGAGGGAAAGGGGAAACAGTGTGTTACAGTTAAATAAAATAAAAATTAAGAGAATGTTTTAAATTTCAGCACCAAAAAAAATTAGCAATACATTTCGTCAGTGGTGAATGCTGCAACTTTATTGTATCTCTTGTAGATATCTGGCAAGAAGTGTTACAGACCTGCAGACGCTCCCTTCCCTCAACTAAAACATGTGTGCTAAAATTACCCATTGTGAGAAAAGTGTAAAAATGAAGAAAAACAATATAAAATATTTTCAAAGTAATGAAAACTCAACTTACAGTTTCATTGAATACCGGTACACTTTTACACACTTTATTACAGGTTCTATCAAAAATAAAATCCACATTATATCAGAAAAGTTGACATCTATTTTTCAAAATGACCAGATTTTGAGACCCTCCAAAAATATCCTTGTTTTGAAATAATAATATTAACCAAGCAATGAAATATTAATTTTAAAAGTCGATAAGGAAAAACATTCGATCACTATATTAGTAAAAAAAAAAATTAAGTTAACTCAAACAAAAGTAAAGTTTCATATACAGAAACTCAGGGTTAGTCGTAAAACTAACAACTGATAAAGGGAGATTTTTGTGTTTTTTATTTTTTGTCTTGAAAGTTGGGGGAGAACCCACTTTTATTGCAAAAATCATTGGGGGGTGGGGTGCGCTCGCGTTGGTAGGAACCCTCCATGACTTTTAACCATAGAAGACATCGCCTTATTGCTAACTGCTGTCACTTACATCCATGGGGCTTTGGACCAGTAAATCTACCACTAAGTTTAGAAAATGACACATGTAATAGAGATTTTATATGCTGCCAACATTTGAACAACAAAGACTTTTAAATTTACAGCTACATTCTACCACATCCAAATTCTATCTTTTCCAGAAATTGTACCGGTAATTTTTTTTTTTTTAAATCCGGCTAGATAACTTAAGTTAACTTAACCTTACTTAGTGGCAAAAAGCATCTTTTATAAGAATTAATAGCAAGATTTGTGCAAAATTGTTCAATTTTTTATAAGAAATCAAAAGTATTGATTTAAATAGCCTCTGAAAGAAAAAAACATGATGTGTAATAAGCTCACTATTTGCCAAGACCAATTATCTCCAAATACAGAAATGATGTGAAATGCTCATACATGATGTGTAATAAGTTTATTATTTGCCAAGATCATTCACCTCTGAATATTGGCTTTGCAGCTACTCAAATGATGTGTAATCAGTTCACGTTTTGCCAAGACCAATTACTTCCAAATAACTGCCTTGCAACCACTCAAATAATGATGTGCAACCAGGCTTATGGCTATTGTTTAGAGGCGTGTCATAGTAGTGCTATTTAGTGGATGGTTATTTGGCAGATGTGTGTATTAGTAGTGTTATTTAATGAATGGCTATATGCAGAGGTGTGTCATAGTAGTGTTCTTCATTCAGTGGCTATTTAGTAACTAATATATTGATAGCAATAACCTAATTATATTAGAAATAACCTTTAATGGCTTGCTTTTCAACATTGGGTGTATGTGTATCATTTATCTGACATAGTATCATTCTAGTAAGCAGCTGTTGATGGAAAGTGCCGGAATGTATCATTCATCTTATATGATATCATTCATATCACAAAGTATCATTCATCTCACATAGTAAGCAGTTGTTGATTGAAAGATTTATTTTTGTTCCTTTAAAATTATTCCAACAGGCAATAACTGTCACAATGAGATTGAGTCTCAGGGAGCGGTTAATGGTGATGTGAAACCTCCGTTATCAAATAATGAAGAGGAAATGGAAGAAGGTAATTTGGCAATTTATGTGCACCCTCTTGAGAAACTAAGCCCAAGATAGATCAGCCCAGAGTGTTAAGGAAAAAAAGACAATGTGCAGATTCTATCTGCCCAAATGCCCAAAATAAAGCCTCGAGATTGGCTGGCTGGTCATTGTGCCAGCTAAATTCAGATTGCTTCTTGCATTTCTTGCTCATCTCGACATTTTGATGGCGACTTCCATTGATATTTTATATTGTCATTTTATATCAATTTTTTTGTACCAATCTATACCTAAAAATGTGACCTTGAAATATGGTTGCCAGAAATGTGTTTGAAAGAAATATGGTTGGTAAGTCCTAGAGGTGCACGTTAGAAATGGGGAAATCTGTTCAGTTTTTTTAAACAGGTTTTTTTTAATTACTTTATCTTGTTAAATATAATTTCAATAGAAGGAAGTTGAACTTTCTTTGCTGGGGTTACATAATCCAATTAATCATTAGACAAAATATAATGAGGAGAGTCACATGTGGTTATATTATCACTTTTAATCCTGTTCATTATTGTAATCACTTCAATGTTGTAGCTATGGGGTGCATGATTATAATCCAGGCCAGCACAACATACAGACTGCATGAGCACCCACTTTGCCACCCACGAGTAACAAAATATTCTGTATTATTATTATTTTCTTAATAGATTTCCCCTATTTTCTTTCGGCACGCACAAATTTTTCATAAAGTATTATGGCCAGCCTTACATTTTTAGTTGTGCAGGTCTGTTATAAGGGGTTACAGTTCTTCAGTTACAATCCTAGATTCTATACATAAAAACCTCGAAATGATAGCAAAACTTATAGAGAGTATGCATTTTTTTACTTTTCAGTGGTTGTATTTCTATTTTTACTTAATTTCCCAATAATTGAATCAGTAGGCTATTTTCTGTCCAATGTTTTTTTAAATATTAAAGTTGAGCAAATCTCCTAATTTCTAACTCGCACATGTAAGACCTAACAACAATAACAAAAATTGATAATAAAATAATCCTACCAAATTTCTGTTTGACCAAAATTCCATCGATCAGTTTTCTGTGGACCAAATTTCTTTATAAAAAATGGCTAGATCGTAATATTTTATGCAATTTTACACATAGAATCTCATTATGGGTTAGGCTTCTACAATCAGAAAATTTGTTTAGATTCTAAAAGTAAGACAATTTTATTATAAGTATGAACAAAATTGCATGCATAAATTATGCAAAGCAGGATATCTCATTTCCATGAGTTTTGAGATTTCGATTCATAAAGATTGTATTAGTTTATTCAATTCTCTACAAGAATATTTATAGTTTAATATTTTTAAACTAATTAGTTTTATTTTTTATGAATTATTTTACAAAGTAAGTGCAGGGCTTGTGAAAAGGGCTCTGTTTTTGGCACAGGCAGTCAAAAAGGCCCCGCCTCAAGAGGGTTGAACATTTTTAATAAAATTTTCATTAGACATTTTTTTAATACTATGAATCTTAACACTCCTGTCACACAATAGAAATAAAATGGGGTAAAAAGGAAAGTTTTTTTAAAAAAGATCCTGCAAAATAAATAATGAGTCTCTCTGTTGATCTTTACCTGTATCCTTGACCTTTATAATTTATATCTGCACATGTACTGACTTGTTGTTTGATAGAATGTGTTTAGAAGATTTTGTTTATAGACATCTCTTCTAATCTTGTGACACTTCTCTTGTCTAGCTGACTTTTTAAATAATCTCAACCATTTTAACTATACAAATTTGCAGAGGGAATGGATATGTCATTTGAAAAAGGTGCAAATAACATTTTTATACTGCTAAAAAAATAGTAAACTCAAGCCTTTTCTCTTGATTGGTGAGCCTAAGATGGTTATCTATAATAAAATGTATTATTTTCTAGATGAGAGTCGAGCTGAGGCTACATTTCAGTTTGTTGTAGAAAACTTCAGCAAACTTGAAGATTCTGTCCTTAGTCCACCATGCATGGTTAGAAATCTGCCATGGTAAGTAGATATTATGATAATACAGGTCTTTCTTTTTAACGCTTTATATCCACATGACGCCGGCTTTGACTGATTTTTACCATTATATCCAAAAGCAATGTTACCGCAAGAAAAATGCATGATAACAACTTAGATGTTATTAGACATAATTCATCACTTAATTACGCTAGCTGTAGTAAGACAGTTTCCTGTATTTAAATTAAGGAAGCTCAATCAATATTGTCCAACTTGACAAAGTTTACCGTCTGATAATATCATTTTTTTTTTTTTGCAATTTTATTTTTTACTCTATGAGCTTTGGGAATATAGGTGTTAATACCTACTATTAGTCCAATATTATTGAGATATGAAAGATGACTGATTCACTAACAAATAGGTAAAGATGAAATGGCATATTCTTTAAGACATGAAGTAATCAATGGGTTAATGTTATTTCTTATTTAGGAAAATTATGGCAATGCCCCGCAAAAACCATGCTGAGCGCCAGAGGAGCCTTGGATTTTTTCTTCAGTGCAATGGAGAGTCCGAATCAACATCATGGTCTTGTCAGGCATCAGCCGATCTTAAAATGCTCAAGTGGGATCCAGAAGGAGAGCCCTGCAAAAGAAGTGAGGAATTATTTTGATATGCATATCCTTATATTGTCTTTGTCATGTCTGATTCTGTTGGTTTTTTTTAAGGCTTAAAATTGATTGCCGCTTTCTTTTCAACTTGCAGACATTCAGCATTTGTTTTATCATAAAGAGAATGATTGGGGTTTCAGTCACTTCATGGCATGGCAAGTAAGTGTATTCTATTTGACTGCTGAATCAACTTGTTTGTCCTGGGAAACATTCATTCAACTGGTACAAGGGCTGGGGAACATTTTCAGCTATTGCCCCCAACATGTATTAATTAACACCAACTTTACTCCTAGGAAACAAAGGGGAAAAAAAATCATACACTTTTCAAAATGATTTATATAATCTATGTACAATGAGGATATAATCATTAGGGGTGTGCCGGACCCCGGTCCGGAATCCGGTTCCGCCGGATTTTGCACTATCCGGTGAAATCCGGTTCCGCCGGATTTACATGTATCCGGAACAACCGGAATCCGGAATATACCGGATTTCGGAATTTGCCAGATTTTGTGACTCACCGGATCATAATCTGAAATAAAAGTAATTCTCTTTCCCGAATTCCACACGATCACGATACATTAATCGATTGTTTCGAGCGTTGAGCTTGTTTAATGTTTAATATTCCGTACATACCAGAGGCTAGAGTCAGCACCGCTAATATTGGCCAATAGTGTAGGGACTTTGATAAGAAAATTTAAACTTTTTGTAAAAATAAACCAATGGCATATTTGAAAAGATGTAATTTTTTAAAGAATTATAACACCAAAATCATATTTTTAGCTGTTGTAGTTTTAAAGTTATGAATTTTTAAAGTACGACTTGGTTTGTCATTTTTTAACATGGACTGCATCTCCACATTCTGTGATCTCATTCCACCAATCCCGTCATGCGCAATGACTATATAGTTTATATAAGGCAACGCATTCCCTGCCTTATCACTAAAATACTGTTTAGACTTAGTTTAAACTTTCAACTTTGGCACATGAATAATTAATTAAAGCTTTCCCTGACCAATGGTTTAATAGTTTTTGCACACGGCAAACTCTTATGAATGAAACTCTGAGGTAGTACTACGATACAGTTATGCAAGTGGCTGTGAATGGTTGCCAATGACAACGTGTTGCACACGGTAAATTCTGATCATTTATAATATGGATTCTACCGGGTTGTTAAAGCTCAAATTAAAACATTCCAGTTTAAATGTCTTTAAATGCATTCTGAAACACAAGTTATCAATTATTTTGATGTAAATAGTGATAATAAATTAATATTTCCTAAGTATCGTCAACTTCCGCCATTAAAAAGGGGGGCGTGGCCAACCCCATGGCGAAATTAGGTTGAGCGAGCTGCATAACCTGCTGCGAACGCGTAGAAACATGGCGTCTCTCGTAAGACACTTATCCAAATGGAACGGAACTCAAATATATATCGAAAGTACTAATTTAATAATAAATAGACACACACATCGGAAAATTAAAAACTCGGATTTTTTGGCGCCGATTGCGAATTCCCATACACAAAAAGTAGTAGTCCACCTTGACTTACCGAAGTATCTACCAATAGTACCAAAATCCGGAATCCGGGAGAAACCGGAATCCGGATCCGGCGGATTTCGCATAAGAAAATCCGGATCCGGTTGGAAAAAACGGATCCGGCACACCCCTAATAATCATAATTATAAAAAGTATCCAATAAATTGTTAAAATTATCTTTGAAAGCTATTTTCACTTAGAGGTTTTGGAGACATGATGTTACAATTTTTAAACATCAAAATTGTTGTTGTTTTTTGGTGTAAAGGCACTTAGTATACTGTCTTCGATTTTTCTACTTCATATCTGTGTTTATAGAGTGGAAAATCCTTGCTAGAAATTGTAGATTGTTGAGCTCCTCTTTTGCAATTTTGAAAGGCGTTGCAGCTCTTAATATCTTTGAGCATAAGATAAAATAATAGGTGTATACAATACAAGACGTACAGTTATGCCAATGAGCCGCTACTAACCACATGTTGGTTGCGTTTCACTTCCATTGACCAGATGCAGTGTTGCCAGAGTAAACATTTCTGTTTGAACAAGGAACACGCCTTTTATATTACTTGATGGATATTTATTGATGCCTCGTTACACCTAAGATTTGAGTGTTAAATTATTAAACCATATCACTTGACTGCTAAAGCATGTTTTTATTATTTATTTATGTGGTCTGAGTATATCTAAGAAAACTATAATATTCTTATGCAGACAAGAAATATTTCTCAAGCAATTTATTTGACACCATGTTCACAATTTAATTTGAAGCTTAAACTCATTTTCTGTAATCTCTCAAAAAGAGAAAATTGTTTATTAGTTCCGATTATTTCCTATTAGTTTCATGTCGGAGAGATCTTTATTACATTTTTGCAAATGTAATATTGGGTTGTGAGTAATACCACATTAAATGGTTTCAGCCACTGTATTGTAAACAATGCAATTTCTTAAATAGCCTCTAGGAGGGCAAACCTGAGACCAAAACATGTATAGATGGTGTATAAATTTTTGTAAATGAGTTTACAAAGGCAATATTAAAAGAGAAAAATTGAGCACCAATAAGTGCTTGTATCTATGTTAAACCTTAGGTCTACTCTCCTTTTGTATTGAAATATTTGATTTGTACATTTCAAACTCTAGGATGTTCTTGACCAATCTGCTGGTTTTATCAAAGATGACAAAATTATTCTGGAAGTTCATGTAACTGCGGATGCCCCTCATGGAGTCAGGTGAAGATTGTTGCTAAATTTCAGGCCAATCTATGAAAACTGTTGATGGTTTCTCAACCTTATTGTTCATTTTCTTTATTAAAATTGATATTAAGATATAGAAATTATGGAGCCCTATTAAGAATTGGAACATTTATTGACTTCACGTCCAATGCACACACATCACCTTTCCAATCATATAGCAGACCTGTTAACTCTTACGGTTTTGGCATACAATTTACAATTTTGAGATGTCTTTTACAATTGTACGCCAAGACCTGTGAGAACTACAATTTTAAGAGACCAGGTTGAAAATATATATATTCGGGTAGTTTTTACTATAAGAAAATTTTAAAGTACATTTACCGTTGTTAGTTTTAGCTCCTTTCTACATCCCTCAGTGTATAGATTGAGAAATGCTATTGGTTGGGACCATCTGTATTTATATTATGTTTGCCCTGAGAAGGGATGGGGTGGTGTTGATTTTTGAGCTTTTGTGTTTGCTGTGGTGCTGTAGGATGTCATTTTGTGACAATTATTTCTTTGGGGTGAAGACAGTGCAAAGTCAGAGAAAAACTTTTTTTTTTTTTGTGGGAATGGATGGCCAACTTTTCCACACAACATTATATCTGGACATGTTTTATAGGATTTGAGAGGGAAATTGCAATCTATTTTTAAAACGCACTAAATAGCTGTAATTTTTTTTAATTCTCTTGTTTGGTTCCAACACAACTCTCCTTTCACCCATTAACAGCTTGTGGTAGTTATCAGATCATAATGTCTACAGGAAATAGGCTTAGTGCTTATTGATTTTTTTCTTTAACCAGATTTTCCTAATAAATAAAAGTTAAATAAGTTGCTTGGTAGTTTTTTTTTTAAATGGCACCTTAAATTGTTAATTAATTTTTATTTCAATAAATTTTATGCTGATCTGACTTTGAGTTTGAACCATGTTAAAGTTCACCAGTAACTTTATTTTTGCCAGTGACAAACCGATAATGTGATCTGCACGTTCACCCAAATATTAACTGATATCTATAGCAGATACACGTCTGTAAAACAAAATGATCGCAGTTAGCAATGTACTTATGGTTGTTACCCTTTTTTCGCCGGCTTAACTCCATTGCACTAGACACCTGATACAAAGAGTTATTTTACACATTATATATACGATATGTTTATTTATTTGCTATTTAGATACAGCATTGTTTGATTTTGAGATGATATTGTACGATTTTAGAAGCTGTAGGAAAAAATCTGTTATCGATTGATGGCACTAGTATTTCCTTTACATTATTAGTGAGCATTATACACTAGTTAATTTGAAATTTTGACATTATTTAAAAGTAACTTACCTAGTTATGATTTCAGAGTGTTACAGTACAAAGAATTAACTTGTCTTTATTTGTGCTTGCTCCACTAGTTGGGACTCTAAAAAACACACTGGCTTTGTAGGGCTGAAAAATCAAGGAGCTACCTGTTATATGAATTCTCTATTACAAACACTTTTTTTCACAAACAAGCTAAGACGGGTAAGTGAAGTTTTTCCAGTTTAACTTAATGGCAATTGCTTAAACTTTTTATTTTAATTAGTGGACTTTGATTGTAAAATATTTAATTGAAGTTGAGATGTTGTACAACATAAACCCAACCAAATAATTTGTTTAATGCACTTTTTACTTTACTTTCATATTACGTTTTATTGACAAAGTATTACAGTGGATTTTAAAACTTGTCATTTAATATGTCATACGTCAGTCCAAAAAAATACTTGACCTTAAGAATCTGTCATCTTATAGCAAATACTGGAAAAGAGGCTATTATTAATAAATTTATAAATGGTAGCAGATAAAACAGACACATTTGCACTCGTGTTTTACCTGTTATAAATGGTAGCAGATGAAACAGACACATCTCTTCTTCTTCTTCTATACGATTAATTTATTGATCATTCTGACTCCTATGCATGTAGAGGGGATTTGCAATGTTTCTGTGACTGGTGGATATTCCACTGGTTGCAAGGGCCACTCCGTGAGACTATCATGAACTGGGGGTTGGAAGGCCTGATGCAATAGACGCAAATGTTTCAAGTGCATTCGCCTCAATTGTTCCTTTTGAAAACTTGTTCCAGTCCCTCATTGTCTTTGACAGGAATAAGCAGTTCCTGTACTGGCTTTTTGCTGGTATGTGCTGGAACTGCCTGTCATGGCCTCGTTGCTGTCTATGGGGGGAGAAGGACGAGTTTCTGTTTAATGCTGGATTAGTGGACCAGTCCATTTATCATCTTGTACATCATGGAGAGCATGGATAGACGCCGTCGTTCCTCCAATGGTGACTAGCCCAGTGTTTCCAGCATGATTTCAACACTAGAGGTGTTCCTGTAGCGGTTCAGGTCAAAGCATGCTGCCCGTCGCTGGACCGCCTCCAACCTATCGATGCTTTTATGGGTAAATGGGTCTCAGGCTGAAGATACGTAATTTAAAAGCAGCCGGACAAAGGCTTTATAGGCTCTTTCTTTCACACTGGAGTTGCCGATCTTTTTAAGAACCCAAGTGTCTTGTTTGCCTGGTTTCACACATTGTTTATATGCTCGTCCCAGCAGAACTTTCTTTGAATGGTAACACCGAGGTACCTTACGGAGGAAACTGGCTCAAGTATATGGCCATGCAGTTCGTAGGGGTGGTGTCGAGGGTTACATCTTCTAGACACTAACAGCGTCTAGCACTTGGCAGGATGAAATTCCATGTCCCAGCTCATCTCCCACTCAGCGTATTGATTGAGGTCTTGTTGTGTCTGATCCTGGTCAGATCTGTTGGCATACACCTTTGCACTCCAGTTTAACCTGTTGTTATAAATGGTGGCAGATAAAACATACACATTTGCACTCCAGTCTTACCTGTTATAAATGGTAGCAGATAAAACAGACACATTTTCTCTCCAGGCTGTTTATCTAATGCCCACAGAAAGTGATGACAGCACACGAAGTGTTCCACTTGCCCTTCAGCGAGTCTTTTATGAGCTGCAGTTCTCAGATAAACCAGTTGGAACAAAAAAACTCACAAGATCATTTGGGTAAAATATAAAATATAGACTAGTATATAAAGTATCTACTACTACAACTTGAGTGTACACCTCATCATTTCTACAATTTGTGTCAAAATACTTTTACAAGATAAATACATTAATTACCAGATCTTTTTTTTATATATATAAGTAGATTGTAAGCCAGTTATGGACTGTATTAAATTAACAAAACACCTTAGGAGTGTGATTGCAGTCTTAAGTTAAACTTACTTCCACATCCTAGTATTTCCACAAAACTGTCAATTTATTTTTTGTTCTTTATTCTAGATGGGAAACCTTAGACTCATTCATGCAACATGATGTTCAAGAGCTTTGTCGTGTGGTTAGTTGGAACAAGTTTTCCTTTACTTGCGTTTATCAACCCTATTAATTTCCATTGTGTGTTGAGATTAGTTTAAATTAGCATAAGGGTTTCATATGATTGTGACTTGTAAAAAAAAAAAAAAAAGAACCAAGCATTAGTCAAAATAAACACATATTACTAACAAAGTGTAAAATGCTTCATTTATGCAACATGATGTTCAAGAGCTTTGTCGTTTGGTTAGTTGGAACAAGTTTTCCTTTACTTGCGTTTATCAACCCTATTAATTTCCATTGTGTTTTGAGATTAGTTTAAATTAGCATAAGGGTTTCATATGATTGTGACTTGTAAAAAAAAAAAAAAAGAACCAAGCATTAGTCAAAATAAACACATATTACTAACAAAGTGTAAAATGCTATTGCAAAATATACAATGGCTTTTTTTAAAACTTTATTATGTGACTTCATCTTGTTTTGATAATGAACATGCCAGAAATGACTTCAAGAAGAAGCCATTGATCTCGTTATTACATTGAAAGATATTTGACTTTTTTAACCAAGAATTTTCCATAATACTTTATTACTTGGTTATTTCTATATGATTATGCTGGTATGAGACATGTTGATGTGATTGACTGTTTCTCTCAACAGTTGTTAGATAACATGGAGAGTAAGATGAAAGGAACTTGTGTTGAAGGAACTATTCCAAAACTCTTTGAGGGTAAAATGTTGGTGAGTATCCACGAAATCAAGGTTTCCAAAACTGGGATGCGAGGTGGCAGTTGTGGGGTGTGTGTGGCAAACAGTAATTTAAAACAAAGGGCTATTGTCTTTTTAAGTCGTGATGTAATTTTTAATTCTTAAAAAAAAGTTATTTATCAACATTTTAGTTTATGTAATAAGTTTCAAGTTAATTTTCCAAGTTCTACAGTTCTCTTATTAATTCTATTAAAATATTGTTACTTTTGTAGGGTTGTGAAACTTAGCACAATAATTTTTAGCCAGTGCGAGACTAGTAATAACATTGAGAGGGTTGGGGACCACAGCAAGGTTGGGAAACACTGTAGCAAATCTTTTTCTGAGTTTTCTAATTGATATGTGTTTTACTTATTTGAATAACTATTGTATTGTGTGTAATTGTTTCCAATTTCGTTCATATTGTTATACTTCATTTGTGCTCATGTAAGTGAAACTTGTATTTTTTAATAATTTTTTTTTACAGTCTTACATTAAATGCAAGCATGTGGATTATGATTCAAAAAGAGAGGAAACATTTTTTGATATTCAACTGAACATTAAAGGAAAGAAAACTGGTGAGTACAATCCAAAGACATGATCATAAACAAAATCAAAAAATATTTTATTATATTTATAAATGCTGTTACAATATATATATATATATATATATATATGATTATAAGACTAGAAAATGGGATTATAAGACCATCAATACCCAGATTATTGATATTATTTTCATAATTACTGTTTTAAGTGTGTTTTTCAATATTTGAATCCATAATACATGCATACAATATTTTGTCTCTAGTTGTAGAATCTTTCAAAGAGTACTGCACTGTGGAAACTTTAGATGGTGATAATAAATATGATGCAGGAGAATATGGTTTGCAGGTGAGTCCTTCTTCCAGAAGCTTGAATTTTAGTTTTAATAAGACCTTGGTTTTTTTTTAATCATGTTTTGGGGGAAAAGCCAAGTGCATAGCAAATACAAGAGGAGTATAAAATGAATACTATGAAAGTCCTTCAAGCCATGTGAAGGTCATACTAGCAATACGATATTTAAAACAAAAGAATACAGACCTTTCAGCTAACTGCCTTCTTCTACAAATCAAAACAAGAGAAAACAAACAAATTAGAAAAAAGACTTGAAGTAAGGAAGTTTTGTAGCCTCGTATTACTATGGCCATGCATTGTTAGCATTCTTATTATCATTATGCATTTTTTTAATAACAAAAATAATATTTAGTCTTAACCCAGCAATGAAAATGAACAAATTTGTTTACATTTTAGCTCATGGTATCATATTTTTCTATGGACTTGTTTGAGTTTTTTATTAATTTTTTAAAATTAAGTAAAGTAAGATTGTTTAGTGACTTATTGATTTCAAATATTCTGTTGTTTTGTTTGCTAAACTTGTCTATTTGTTTATAGTCATTTTCATTCAATGCTTCTTTACTCTTATGATATGCTTGCAGGAATCTGAAAAAGGCGTCATATTCCTCTCATTCCCCCCTGTGTTACACCTACATCTCATGAGGTTCATGTATGACCCGGTCACAGATGCAAACATAAAAATTAATGATAGGTGAGCTGTTTTGGATTTCTATTAATAAACATCTTTATGGTAATGTTTCTTGCAGTATATTCCTATAAATAAACAAAATATATTTTTATAGTGACTTATTTTTAGCAGGCTATTCTAACATTCAATCTGTTTTGAATTTTGATCTTTATCTTAAGCTGTATACATCATTTATGAAGGTAACTTGCGTCAGTCAGTCCTAACAGTCTTCTGTACAACCAATCTTAGGCATAAGATTATATTTTTTATGGCCCGTAAATTGTTGCTGATTTCCGATCAATTAAAACACAAGATTAAATTGAAATAAGCTTATGCAATAAAGCTTTTTAAGCTTTTCATTCCTTGGCTCCTGGTCCTAAAATGTCCCTGATTTTCATTAAAAAAACAGAGGGGTCGGGTTGTATATCGGCAAATGGCAAAAAATAACATGAACTCATTTATGGATGGGCCCATTGTAACAATGTGAAAAGTCCACTCGATGTTTACATTGTGAATAGCCTTAGCTCACTCAGGTTCAAACATTTCACATAATAAGGATCTTGATCATTTTGGGGAGCTTTCTTATTAGGATGGTTTGACATCCTTGTCCAAAACTGTTAAGCTCCCAACAGTAGTGATAATAAAACCAAACTGCACTAACAAGATTGAAATGAGCAGTGACAAATGAAAGGTTTGCTTGTATGGATGTTGTAAATCTGAAAGGAAAAAATACTTATCTATTTATAACTTATATGTTTTAAAGATTTGAATTCCCCGAGAGGTTGAGCTTAGATGAATTCCTTCAAAAAAAGGAGAAGACCTCGGCAACCTACCTGTTACATGCAGTACTTGTACATAGCGGTGATAACCATGGTGGACATTATGTTGTATATATAAATCCCAAAGGAGATGGCAAAGTAAGGAATATTTCTATTGAATTGGTATGTTGGCTAAGTAAGGAATATTTCTATTGAATTGGTATGTTGGCTAAGTAAGGAATATTTCTGTTGAATTGATATGTTGGCAAAGTAAGGAATATTTCTATTGAATTGGTATGTTGGCTAAGTAAGGAATATTTCTATTGAATTGGTATGTTGGCTAAGTAAGGAATATTTCTATTGAATTGGTATGTTGGCAAAGTAAGGAATATTTCTATTGAATTGGTATGTTGGCAAAGTAAGGAATATTTCTATTGAATTGGTATGTTGGCAAAGTAAAGAATATTTCTATTGAATTGGTATGTTGGTAAAGTAAGGAATGTTTCTATTGAATTGATATATTGGCTTAAGTAATGAATATTTCTATTGAATTGACATGTTGGCTAAGTAAGGAATATTTAATTGAATTGGGATATTAAATATCGTGGATATTTTATTTTATTTTATGGAGGGAGGGGGTACAAAATGAAAGAGCTTCTCATTCCTTCAATTGCTGTTTAGCATTACAAAAGTTTTTATATATTTTATATTGTTTTAATCAATGATTTATCTTTTGAATAACACTAATTGGTTAAAAAGGCACAATATTTTTTAAACTATTTTAAAGTCTCCCTTTTTTTTTCTTTTTTTTAACCTTTATCTCTTAACCCCAATAAAGTAATTGTGACTCGTGGGTGATGTAAATTGAGATTCTTATTTCAGAGGATTTCTTTATAGAAATTGAAGGATTATTGGATTACTGAAAATGCATGTTTGTTTTACTGAAACAAAATTCAAGATGCAAAACTGTGCACTTAAAATACTTTGCAAGTGGTCTAAAACTGTTACTGTTTTGAAGGGATTATATTCTGAACGTATCTGATGCCAAGCATCAGACTTTGAAAGTATAATAATTTGTTTATATTTCATAGAAAATAAAAATAAATAAATTTCTTATTCAGAGAGTTATGAAATATTTTTTTTACAGTGGTGCAAATTTGATGACGATGTAGTGTCTCGTTGTACAAAATCAGAAGCCATTGACCACAATTTTGGCGGACAGGATGAAGATCTGACCGTCAGACACTGTACAAATGCTTACATGTTGGTGTATATACGTGAAAGTGAATTGAGTAAGTCATATGATCTATTCACTAAGTGAAAAACTCTATCAATGTATATATATATTTGTAGTACATTTCATTAAAATATATTTATTGCTATTTTTATAATAACCTTACTTTCATATTTGATAAATCAATCATTTTATAGTAAGTTGACTTTGACATATAAGTTTATAACTTTTACTTACTTGGAAAATACATATTTTACATTATATTAATAATGAAAATGTCAGATATTTTTTTATTAAACTCTATTATATTGGCAGCTGCAAAATAATATACATTATGTTTTGTGACCAGGTGAAATTCTTGAGCCTGTTAGTGAAAAAGATATTCCTGATACTTTAACTGCAAGATTAAATGAAGAAAGGTAATTTGACCTAATTTTATCGATTTTTGTATGTTGTTCCAAGAACCACAGACAACAATGTAGACTAGTTGCCGCTAAGGCTGTCACCAGGTGCTCCGCTACTCATCCCAAGGCTGACTGCCAATGCAATTCTCAGTGCCCCTTTTTAGAAATTATATTTAAAAATCATTAAATTTCAAACAGTTCTACATGCATTACCCCCACTCCCTACAGTCACTTCCGAATTCCCACTACACCAGGCAGTTGCATGTCAGATGGATTGTCGTGTATGATGCTCGTTCGGTGCACCAAACAACTCAACTGCTATACATTCATCCGTATCCGGAAATTTGTTTGAATATTGATCTAAAGATGCTTGATCAATGGAAGTTTGGTCGAACGGAAGTTTGGTCGAATTTTTTTTTTCAGTTCACACGATCAAATTTTTGTCAAATTTCTTTCTTTTTTTTTATTTTTAATATATATATATATAGTATAGTGCGTTCAGAAAGAAACAAGACAATAATTTGATTTTGAAAAATACTACTGCTTTTTAAAGAAGAAAAAAAAGAAATCATATATTTCTATCTTCTTTCTTAAAAAAATAATGAGACTTAAAAGTTCATCATGGCTTTCAAGCGCATAGTATATGCGACAAATGCACTAAGTTTGATGTAGAATTTATTGAAATTAATGTCGAAAGTAAAAGTGATGATCTTATAGTTAAGGATAAATCTGAAACAAACTATAAAAAGCAATATACTGTTTAGATAGTTAGCTGGCCAGTGACTATGGTGATAGCCTGTGAACTTTACGACTCCCTAGAGTTCCTAAAACCTTCTCTGTTGGGCTCCCCAGGTATTGACTCTGTGGGTCAAAGGTTAGATCTTTTTCAAAGTTTTGACAACCCTAGTTGCCACAAAGTTCAGCAGGACACATACCCCCTGTCCTTTCTCTTTTCTCTCTCCTCCTAAGCTGCGTTCTCAGGTTAAATGTACAATGCCGTTTGGTCAGGAGTAAAGAAAGTTTGTTTTTTTCCCAACCGAAGTTGGTAAATTTTCCTTTCCTGACGGTGCACATATGGTAGTGTGTTTTCTTGCTGACAGCTGGGGTTGAAAACAGACGTGCCTGGAGTTAAGTCAAGTTGCTATAAGGTACTATAATGACTTAATGTTAAGTTTAACTTTGTTTCTTTGAATCAGTTGTTATTGTTGTTAAATTTTCAGAAAGTTGGAAGCACTGAAACGCAAGGAAAGAACGGAAGCCCATTTATACATGAATGTGCATGTGTTGACTGAGGACAACTTCTGTGGTCACCAAGGAAATGATCTTTTTGACACTGAAAAAGTCAATTATAGGTAAACAATTAATAGATGTCATCTAGGACCTTAAGCATTCTTGAAAACAACTTCATTGAATGAAAATGTTTTATCTGTCTGTAAAATAATTTAATTTTCTTATCTACAAATATGTTAGGAAGGTGTTTAAATAATAGTTTATCTCTATTTTATTTGGTAGGAGTTTCAAGGTGAAGAAGACCTCCACACTTGCAGAATTCATGGAAATCTTAGCAGACAATTTAGTGAGTTGATCAATGTAATCACTTTTTTTTTAAAAATATGACAGAAAAATTATCTTTATTCTCAGTCTAAATTGAAAATTAAAACTTACTTGTATATTTCCATTTCCAGTATTCTTTGAATACCTTGAGGAAAAACAATAGCTGCTATATTCTTGTTTGACCAATGCCCAGGCTTTTAAATGTTTCAATAATAAACCTGAGCAACATGGCACAGCTAATATTATGTCATTGTCAAATTAACTGCACTGTGACCCAATCTTCTGCCGTCATGCCCCTCTCAGTGGTGTCATGGCTGATATGATCTGCCGCTAACAAAATCGTTGGTCAAAATGCTAATGACTTATTGGGTATGATTGATGTCAGACTCACCTTGATATAGCGCAGTAGGGATGTACATATAAGCTTTAAGGGTCATTGTTCTAGTGCAGTAGTCATCTACATAAAGGGTATCAGTAGTCATTGGGTTTCTGGGTGGCAAAGCGGTCTAAATTGAGTCTATCCCCATCAAAGCCTAGAAAAGTCAAAACACCAGCATCCCGGGCTGGGACTTTATTGTAACACTGAAATCAAACCCAGAGATGGAGTCCCGTACATCGACATAATGAAAAAAAATCTGTCCTGCGATGTGGAACGCGTAGAGAGCACAGTGAAACACAAAATAAACACTGCTGGTTATTTTCTGCATCCAGGTCTATTTCCAGTTGTCTTGACTAAGTCTTTCCATTGGATGAAATAGGCCAAGAGGAGAGAGTGAGACTGGGCAACTCTCCCTCACTTTAACAGACCTTTTTACTCTTTATGATTTTGGATTTCAATGTACGATTTTTAGATGTTTTTTACGACTCTATGCCAAGACCCGCCAAAACTATGATTTTAAAAGACACAGTAAAAAAAATATTATGGTAATTTTTTCCGATTAATTTATTTTTTCCTCCCTTGCAGTTTCTAATAAAAGATCTGGCAGTGAATGGACCGAGAAAAACGATTGGTTGTAATTTTTTTAAAGTTGGGACCATCCTTCATTATAATATCTATGCACTGAGAGGGAAGGTGGGGGTTGTTGATTAAGGAGATTTGTGGCATACGGTACGCATGGGTAGGGGGGATAGGTGGGAGTGTCAAAGACTATAAAACTATTACCACCACGTATTGTATTGAAGGTGATGATTGTCATACAGTTGCTTTGTGTGTCAGTGACCTGGCAAGTACGTCAACATAATATTTAGACTAATCGCTAGGCCTAGCGACAACTTCACTCGCCGTCCCCTTTGATTGCTACCCAGCCTGTGACACAATTATTTTGTTTGTCTGAAACGCGGTGATTGTGAAAACTGAGCAAACTAGAGATGTTAACAAAAAATAAGATACATTATTCAACTGTTCTGCACTGCAACAGTGGGTTTGGAAATTTTATAAGATCTAATTCAGCTGCATTTAAGAAATATTTTTACAACTCGTAAAGTAGCTCTCCCCTCAACGATTCTAAAAATACAACAGTATGGTATCACTATTGGTATCATAAATTGTAGAATTTAAACATAAATCTAGGTGCATTCTGGTGACCGCCCCCTCACATCAAAGCTGTCATATGCATCCTCAGAGTGTAACAGGTTCCCTGATTGAAATTCGAATGAGTACACTTTGAAATAGTGAATAAATAAACAAAATAATATAAAGAGTTGGGGGAAAATAACTCTGCCATGTATGTAGGTCACTAGAGTCATCTAGTAACTGCAAACAGTAGTTACTCGGGTGGGTTACTGTTTAAACTTTACACCTAAACCCAAAGTTGGGACATTGGATTCAAATTAAAAATGGAAATAAAGTTATGAATTGTAATATTCACAACGCCTCTGTGAGGAAGCCGCCATATAGAAAAATGTGCACCCCCACCCACCCGGGCGGGCCAGTAAAAGGCCTATTCATTGCGCCCTTTCTCTTTGACTAAGTAAATGGTTGAATTGATTATCATGGTCCTTTCATAGTAATCTAATTTTAGAAGTTGCTAAGCAGTTGTGCAATTTTAATAACCCAGTTTTTTTCCAGTACTTCTCTTCCCTTCTCCCAAAAAGTTTGCGTTGATGATGTTCATTCTTGTCATAAACGCAGATTTGAATAAATGTATGCATCAATTTTTTGTGATGCGCCATTTCGATGTACCAGCCCCTTTCTTGGGCTCATTTAAAAAATTGATTACAATAAGTGATCTCAAAAATTAAATAAAAGTTATAAAACAGTTGTACTATTTAGTAGCTTCTAAATTAAAGAATTTATATAAACATGGCTGGTAAAAGAAACATAATTTTCCACAAACATTACAAATTACAATTAAGTGTAGAATGATGCAAAACGATATTCAAGTGTACATAAAAATGCATCATATTTTGAATTAATACCGCAATAAAAAATATGGGGAAGAGGCTCGGCCAGTCCCCAAACCTCACTTTCGCTGGGATGACTTGGCGGGTGCCCTCAATTTCCGCTTCCCGACCCTATTCACGTGGCAATTACGGGCACCTTTTTATTTGCTATAAAGCACCGTATATAAATATATAAACTCGGTCAGTCTACTTTAAGAAGTGACCCTTTTTAGACACACGATGCGAATTGTTACAGTATAATGTATACAAATCTATATGCATCGCATGTCTAATAAATAAACTTAACACTTTCCATGCCAGGGGGTTTTCCACGTTCGTGCCAGACCAGTTTTCGGTCAATGGAAATTTTTTAGGGTGCTCTTATCTATTAATTAATAAATATTGAATACATTTCTTTTAGCAAGATTGTTGTATTTCATATCAAGTTAAAGGAAATTAGACAGAATGATAATATGTAATAGATAAAACAATATGACAACAATATTTTAATTTTTTTTGGTAATATTGTGCGATCAAATTGTTTTATTATTTTTTTAAATGGGCACCAAATCTGAACTTACCAGACTACCATATGGTCTGTGTAGCTGGTATCCTATTCTGCTTCAATCCTCAGAAAGTATTTCTATTTTTGATCATAATCCATTTTTAATTTTAAAAATATTCCATTTTGTGACAGAGTTATACCCATTTTTGTAACGTTAGGATTAGTATTATCTGAATCCTCGCTGTTGCCATAGTAACAAAGGGGTTTTGAAAAAAAATCATAACTTTTGAACTACTTGAGCTAGAAAGCTGATCTTGGTGTTTTTCTGATCCATTCTCTAGGCTCTATACACTCATGGTATCTTTATATTTTAGAAAAATATTTTGAAATTTTTATGAAAGTGCCGACAGTCACCACTATTACTATTTCTATAGCCATTTTATTACTATGTCCATTTGGCATTTACCAACCCATCAGAAATCTGAAAATCATCACTGGAATCAGATTCAAATGATTCATGGTTATTGTCTGATGTTTCAGCATCATTAATTAATAGCAATATAAGTTCTTTTGTTTGAAAAATTGACTACCCACGTGGTCTAGCAACAGGTGACGTGCTTGGAATAGGCGTGGCCATTGCTTTGTTTACAAAAGTTTCAACACAAATTTAACTATTATTAGAAAAAACACATGTAAACAAGCCCTACTTCTTACAGGAAGGAAGTAGGCTGAGTTATCCTTAGTTTAAGAACATAAAAAGTTGGATTAATAGCCGCAGACAACGAAATAAAAATTAATTAATTAGTTTGATGGTGTATCGTGACTTGGCACAAGCATGACCAGTCAAATTGACGATGCACCATGGCTTGCCATGGAAAGAGTTACAATATCATGTCTACAAAATGTTTAATTATTTACTATTATGAAATGATATTGTACAATTTTGGGAGTTCCAGGGTAATCAGGCCTGTTAAAAGCTTAAGGGTCATTGCTCTAGTGCAGTAGTCATCTACATTAAAGCTATAAAGGTCATTATTCTTATTCATTAGTCATATACATAGAAGCCATAAGGGTTATTATTCTAGTGCAGTAGGGATGTACATAAAAGCTATAAGGGTCATAGTTCTAGTCATTTCCATTTCTTTAAAATCTTTTAATAATAATAAATAAAAAATAAGTAAAAAATAAATGTAATCCCTTAATTTTTATGCATGTTTGCAGAAATACCCAGTTCAACAAATTAGGCCGTGGCCTTTCCATTGTCGTCAAAATCAAACATTCAGACCAACCATCCTTGATCTTGAGGCGGACTTCAACAAACAAGTAAGCAATAAGACAGTCACTTTTCTACTAATCTTATTCAGCGTAAATTGTATTTTAACCAAATAAAATGTCCAACAGAGAATCAAATAGATGTTTCTGTAGTTAATTCACTTGTTTATACTATACAATTGATAGACCGAAATTTTTGCATTAATTTAACCTTATATGAAATTTTATCACCATTTTTTTATCAAGGTCTCTGAGCTTTCCGAACAGGAAAACCCATGGGTCATATTTGTGGAAACCCTCACCCCAGAAAGTGGTCTACAAGAGTTGCCACCCTTTGATAAAGATAGTAAATACTTTATTTGTTGGTTTTTTGTGTGTTTTTTTTTTTTTTTTTAGAATTTTATTTAAAAAAACATAATCAGTTTGATAATTTTTTATTATTCATGTTTTTTTTATAATTTTAAGGGTGTTTTTTTATTATCTTTTTACTTTATTTGTTGGTTTTTTGTGTGTTTTTTTTTTTTTTTGTAGAATTTTATATAAAAAAACATAATCAGTTTGATAATTTTTTAGTATTCATGTTTTTTTTATAATGTTAAGGGTGTTTTCTCATTATCTTATCATATGTGTGTGATGATGTTGGGGATTTCAATGAAAGCATCATGTCAAGTATTTCTTTAACCAATAAACAGGTGATGTACTATTATTCTTAAAGATGTATGATCCTAGAACAAAGTCTATTTCATACGTGGGTCATCTTTATGCTCCAATCTCAGCTAAAGCAAGTAAGTGAATTTAAGGAAATATCCCAAGTATCGCTGTTTATCCAATTTTGACCTTTCAACTTCTTTTGATTGCAAATGTTGGTTAACTCTCAGGCATATTCTAAATTTCTTTTATAAGGGCCATCCATATATTATGTATGTAAGCATAACCTTCTGTATACATATGTGACATCTAGCTGGCCTGTGCCAGCTAGTAACTCACTTGAGTAATTACTGTTTGCCAGAGTGCAGTGACATCTAGCGGGCCTGTGCAAACCAGTAACTCACTTGAGTAATAATATTTTATGTTTGCTGTTACCAAATTATGCTAAGTGATCTACATATATGTTAGATATATTTTTACCAAACCCTAATCATTTTTACAAAGATAAAAATGTATTGCCAGTTTGAAGTGTAGACTTGACAGGGAGTCTGGTTAAAACCTATCTTTGGCAAAGGTGCACTAATTAAAACAATTTTAGGAACTGCCACATACTGGTATAGCCAAACAAAATAGGTTAACTTGTGAAACATACATCATACATACAAAAGCAATATCTATCAAAGTTCGATTGTAAAGACACAAAGCAACACTATGACAATGATTACAAAACATTGCATGTTATTTTTACTTTACAGCATTGGACTGTATATAGACTGTCAGAATTTCAGGTTAAATATTACAGAATTTGTGAAGGTGTGTATGTACTTTCTGTGTCGAGACACACACACGACCTCATAGGCACCCTTAAGCAATGTCTCCAAAATAGACAGACACCCCCCCAGTGCGTTTGTAATATATGGATGTCCCCTTAGCGGTGTTAATGAAAAAACAAATGAGTTTACTTTGAATTATCCACAGATGAATTGGTACCACAACTCAATAGGAAAGCTGGCTTTCCTGTCAACACACCACTTTTACTCTATGAGGTAAGAGGATAGAATTGTCGATTGCTATGTTCACCGCACCACTATCAAGTACATTGTTGGCATCAGGCTTTGTATAGCATTTCCATTTGCTTCTCTAAAAAAGCAAAACCCCTTACAAAATGAATTCAGACCCTTTAAAGTCTAGCAGTTTCTAAAAATGCACATGATATTATTTTTATATTATGTTATAGGAATGACCTTGACCTTAAAAGGATGAGTGCAAGTGTACTAGTCTCCTTCTGCATTCAAGCCACCCCAACACTTAATATTTTGTTTATTTAGCATTACGTCTGTCTTTTTTTCATTCACAACACACAAATTTCTTTTACACAATTTACAAGGGGAAAAAACATGAAATGATTTGAAAAATGTCCTTTTCATTAGTTATTTCATCCATTTATTATCACATTAATACCCCAGAACATACAGAAACATGAAGGTCTTTGAATCTTTTTAAACTGGGCTTTGGGGATCCAATTTTTGTCTTTTTTGTTATATAGCCACACTTTCCCAAAACAAGATGACCATAACGTCATGGGGTGAGGGGCATTATGTCCCTTGATCTGCCATTAGGATGGTTATATAGGGATAATGACTGAGAAGGCATATGAACTTTCAACTATTCTATGAGAATTGAGGATGCTAATTTAGTCTTGACATAGTCGTTCTGTGTTTACCGTAGTGATGCCAAATACAAGATAGTTGGGCGATTCTCACACTCAACGAATCGTTAAAAACACTGTATATTTGGTCCAAAATGACCAATACCCATTTAATGATATTTTGCACTATTTTTTAACATCTTTTAATAATTTTTTTTAAGTAATTAAAATTTGTGTACATGCTTTAGAAACAAAATATATCAAAACCCAGAATTACTCTAAAAAATTTATATTTTTGCCAATCTTTTACCCACACCCTCATAATTGTTTTCTATAATTAATTTGTGATTTCATTATCTCATTGTTGTGGCTCGATAAAATTGTTTTTAAAGGATCCTATGACCTGCTCATAAGTAGGATCAGACCACTTATTTCCTTACCTGAAATGTTTCAAAAAAATTTGGCTTTAGAGCGAGTAGATAAAGTAATTTAATACCGTACATAAAGTAATTTAATACAGAGCTAAGCAACCTTTTTTCTCTGTTGAGGCAGACCACAAGTAAAGACTTGCCAAATTATTCTAAATAACATATTGTAGTTAACATTCATCATGGCCTGTAATGTAAATAGCATATCTCTATTATTGTCTGTTTTGGGAGCATTTCTGTTACTGCAGAGTTTGACAGTTTGATAATACGCTCACCAAAGTTCTTTTTATATCAAAACGGTTCTATCATAATTATGTGCCAAAGTATACACTCTGCTTTTCAACCTCTTGGAGGCATTTTGTGTGGCACACCTGGCATCATCTCACTACACAAAAGTGTGCCGGGGCACACCAGTTCCAGAACTCTTAATCTAATATATCCAGTGTTTTTAAGTGCTGGGAATAATGGGGTCAGTGAAGGTTGGGAGTATTTGACTTAGGGGAGGTAGAAGTCAGAATGTAGGGAAGGATGTGGAGTGACAGTAGTAATGTGGAGGGTAGGGGCTGAGAATAGGGATCACTTAGAACAGGAGTCTCAAACTCAAATCATCCTGGGGCCGCAGGAGGCAGAGCCTCAGTGAGACTAGGCCGCAGGAGGCAGAGTCTGAGTGAGACTTTTAGTCTGATTTTAAAACGCTTTTGTACCATTATAATCAACATCCAATTCTAAAGAAACATAATAAAAATTAGAATTAGACTAGTCGGTAAGATTCGACTGAAACCGTCACAAAGAGTCACATTATAGATATGAGAATGGGGAAAACGCGCGGTCCGCATTAACACTAAATTTGCTGTCCATGTCGCAGGCTGCAAAATATCGTGTTGCGGGTCGCAAATGGCCCACGGGCCATGAGTTTGAGACCCCTGACTTAGAAGATCAAAACCAAAGCATAAGACTTTATAGCAAAAGAAATAACTTTGAATAATATCTCAGGAGGTGAAGCCTAACTTGATTGAGAGGCTTGAGGATCTCAGCTTGCCTATGGAAAAGTTGCTTGACGAGCTCATGGATGGTGACATCATTGTCTTTCAACGAGAAGAAGAAGATACTCAGTACCTTTTACCTACACCCAAAGAGTATTTCAGGTGTGTACCTTTTACCTACACCCAAGAGTATTTCAGGTGTGTACCTTTTACCTACACCCAAGAGTATTTCAGGTGTGTACCTTTTACCTACACCCAAGAGTATTTCAGGTGTGTACCTTTTACCTACACCCAAAGAGTATTTCAGGTGTGTACCTTTTACCTACACCCAAGAGTATTTCAGGTGTGTACCTTTTACCTACACCCAAGAGTATTTCAGGTGTGTACCTTTTACCTACACCCAAGAGTATTTCAGGTGTGTACCTTTTACCTACACCCAAAGAGTATTTCAGGTGTGTACCTTTTACCTACACCCAAGAGTATTTCAGGTGTGTACCTTTTACCTACACCCAGAGTATTTCAGATTTATTTTAGAATTACATTTTATATTTCAGGCTAAAATATTTAAAAAATTTCTAATCAGTGAAACTTTGAAAGAATTAGCAGAGACATAACTTATTGTTAACTCGGCTAAACATCTAATTTTTACTGATTCTACATTTTCAAATATCCAAGACTTTATTTTCCAGACAAGGCTACAGTACTTTAAAATATACATTCTTTAGCAGAACTTTTATACAATTACTTTGCCATATATAAATAGCTGAAACTTAAAGCAATTAAAAGAAGATACAAAATCATTTTTTAAATTATTAATAAAAGTGTGACACATTAAATTTTGCTGTTGTAACTGACACTGAACAAAATTAAAATCTGTCCTTTGTTTCTTTTCAGGGACCTTTTCTATCAAGTCGAGGTGACGTTCTGTGATAAATCTGTTCCAAATGACCCAGGCTTCACTCTGGACTTGTCTCAAAAAATGAACTATGACCAGATGGCCAACGCAGTGGCCAGTCATTTAGGCACAGATCCATACAAACTGCAATTCTTCAAGTGTCAAGGGTAAGCACTGTTGCTAGAGTTAGCACTTATTTTGATAGATCTCTTGTAACCCACGAACTGTGGTTGGCCGAAAAAATCAGCTGATATTTTCTTTCTGTACTGTGCCGAAAAAATCGGCCTATAAAAAACATCGTCAGATAGCGATTTCCAATCCAATATTTAACCAGAATTATAGCCACTTCCTTTCATTTATAATGTTTTTTGATAACTTTACAAGTACTTTTTAATCTGAGTTTTATATTGCTGTTCATTGACCCAGTTTTTTCTTATAGCTAAAATGGATGAAGCTATGGCAGGGCCTTCGGTTAAAAGTACTAGAAATATTTTTGAAAGCTTTTGGAGGATTTACGTGATGCTGATGATGAGTTTAACATTCTCCATGACGATCTCAGTTCGGATTCTTCCTCTAGTGAATCTGATACTAGTTCTAGGGATACTGAAGTAGGCCTACTGGTAGACTTCGAGCCAGGCCCGGAGGTTGGGCAAGGACTGAATTTTTGTAACAGAAGCTACAGATTATAGATCAGAACTAATAAATTTTATAGACAGACAACCCAAATCAGTTCCACGGTTCCTTTTTAAATGTTTACTTGTCAGTAATAACTTTTATGTCTGAGATTTTGTATGTTGTACTTGGTTTTAGCTGTGGTCCCAGTTTTTTATTTCTTTCAGTAATAAATGACCTACAATTGCTTTCAGAGGCTTAATTGTAATCAAAACCTTAGCAAACTATACATTTTCTGAAAGATAAATGAATTGGCTACCACATTTATATAAGTATTTTAATGGTATCTGTAAAAATTAATGATGTTATGAGCACTTGAAAGCAAGACCTTTTGTCAATTTTATATATTCTTGATAACTCCAAGGTCAAGGACACTGAAAAAAATTTTGTTTGAGAGATTGAGCAATATACTAATAATATAGCCAACTTGTCTGGGCATCCGTATTTCTTCATGATTTTCCACAAGCCAGCTCTATTGACCCTGTCAAAGGCCTTATTCAAGTCGATAAATGTAGTATATAGGTCTGTATTTTGTTCCTGGTATTTCTCTTGAAGCTGTCTAGCAGCAAACACCATATCGATGGTTCCGAGTTTTTTGCGGAAACGGCATTGACTTTCGAGTAGGAGACCTAGCTCCAGATGTGCATTCAGGCGGTTCAGAAGGGCTCGGGCCAAGATCTTGCCTGCAATGGACAGTAGTGAAATTCGGCGGTGATTGTCGCATGTCTGGCGGTTGGTTACCTTTGTGTTTGTACAGGTGGATGATTGAGGCATCCTTGAGGTCTTGTGGTACAGTTTCCGTCTGCCAGATGATTTGGAATAAGCCCAACAGCTTATCCGTCAGCGCTGGTCCACCCTCCTTGTAGATTTCGGCAGGAATCATGTCGGGGCCAGGTACTTTGCCATTGGACATTTGGCGGATCGCTGTCTGTATCTCATCAAAAGTTGGGACGGCGTCCAGTGAATTGTTCGTTGGGACCTGGGGGAGTCTTTCAATGGCCTCATCATTAATGATGGAAGGTGTATTGAGCACACTTTCAAAGTGTTCCGCCCATCTTTCCAAGATTTTCTCTTTGTCTGTAATGAGCGTAGAACCATCAGCACAAAGGAGAGGGGAAGAGCCTGAGGTGGAGACACCATAGATTTCTCTCAGGCCACGGTAGAAGTTTTTCATGTCTTTCTTGTCTGCAAAGCCCTGTATTTCATCAGCTTTTGAATTCAACCAGGAATCTTGCATCTGGCGCAGTTGTATCTGGACCTTGCTGCGGATGCCCCTAAGTGCAGCTGTCTTTGCTGTTGACGTTGGGTCATCATGGAGGGCCTTGTACGCTCGGCGTTTTTGCTCAAGAAGAATTTGGATAGCTGTGTTGTTTTCGTCAAACCAGTCCCTGTGTTTCCTCGTAGAGGGTCCGAGGCGCTCAGCGGCTGTATTGTAGACCATCTCACGAATCGTGGTCCACGCTTTTTCCGCGTCCTGGTTGTCCAGTGTGATTGTATCAAGGCGTTGATCTAGGCTGTCAACAAAAGTTTGTCTCACATCAGGGATATTCAGCCAATTTATGTTGAGGCGTTTCGGAACTTTCGTGGCCTGAGGTCGTCTCTTAGGTTGGATATGAATTTTCATCTTTGAGACGATTAGGCGGTGATCCGTCCAGCATTCTGCGCCACACATGGCCTTAGTCACCCTCACGTCCTTGCGGTCCCTATTTCTGACTATGACATAATCAATTAGGTGCCAGTGTTTAGAACGGGGGTGCATCCAGGAGGTCCTGTTGTGCGTTGGCAGGCTGAAGGTGGTGTTCGTCATTTTCACACTACCTGCCTCAGGAAACTCCTCGACATCAGGTGGCAAGACAAAGTCCCCGACACCGAGGTCCTCGCTAGAGCGAACCTACCTAGTATCTTCACAACTCTGATGCAGTCTCAGCTCCGTTGGATGGGACACGTAGCCCGTATGGCAGACCACCGGCTCCCGAAACAAATATTCTTTGGAGAACTCACGATAGGCAAGCGCTCCCAAGGAGGCCAAAGAAAGCGTCACAAAGACTCACTGAAAGTGGCACTAAAGGCCTTCAGCAAAAACCCTACTCAATGGGTGCAGACAGCCTAGGACAGAGCCAGATGGAGAGCTGCTGTCAAGAAGGGGGCTAAATCCCATGAAGCTAAGAGAATAACCACAGCTGAGACACGCAGGCTTGTTCGAAAGATCAACAGAGAAAATCTCCCCCCCCCCTTAGCTATGCCTATGTTCCTGTATTCCAAATGTTAAGCAACAAGGGCACCCCACGTGCCATAATATATTTGTTAAGCAACACGATGCTCAGTCTAAACTTTGTTGGTTTCAATCATCATTCCAATCAAATGTTGGTGATGTAAGTTTAAGTTCACCTTGATACAGATCATTCACATCCCGCCTCCAATCATTGACTCTGCGCCCCCCTACTCTAATGGGTCCCAAATATGGCGATGCCCCGCCCTTCTTGCAAAATCTCAATAGATCAGGTTTCAACGACAGATAATCTCTTAATCAGCTCCCCCCCCCCCACCAACTTTTAATCTTTGTTAATGGAACATCAGCGACCCTCCTCTCCAACCCTCACCCCCTCCCCAAATTGCCGCATTAATTCACGACCAAGCCATACAGATCTATGTATCACCCTCTTGTGGTGGTGATTGGATCCATTGAGGATTGGAAACGCCGGCCTTATCTTGTTTGCTATGTCACCGAATAGCCCGCGACCACTTGAGCCTCCAGTGTACCTTGTAGTACGATGTGTACCCTACTAGTGCGGTGTGTACACTGTAGTAAGGTGATTTGTGTACTTTCTGCTCCAGGAATGTCGTGACCCCGCCCTCGATATCCCCACGTACGGTCACTTTCGTATCAGGTATTCGCGCATGGACTTACACCTTTACTCTAGTTTTACACGGGTTCATTCACGAGACTGTATACATTAAATTGACCCAATAATGTGAAGGACGAGGAATGTTTACATTGGCCGGACATTGGTCAGAAAGTTCAGCAAACCTCTCAATGATTCAAGAGGTCGGACTACCATCGCTGATCCACTGGGTTTAGTACACAGACTTCCGGTTCCCAGGCACAGTGCCCAGTGGTGCTTATAACTATTTTAACGCCAAACATTTGCCAAGAAGGCCAGGTCCTCAACAGACCACAACGAAATTTTAATGAAAACTATTAACTTCATCTGTGAGATGCATTGATGAGCTTCGTTTTCTTAATAGGATTTATGAGTATACCTGCTTTGGACTGTAACTAAAACGTTCACAACCCAATCAAATATACGCGTGGTGGGTTACAGACCCCCCCCCCCCAAACAACAACAAAAAGAAAAGTCCATTGACAGGACTGGCCTTTGTCTGATATCTGTAAGGTCAGTAAGGTTAAATTTATTCTTAACGAAATCACTTTTTGTCCGGGGCATCAGCCTGTCCGATGCCCAGCGGTCAGTTGTGGAGTGGGCTTTTTTGTTTGGACATTAAAAAATTTCTTGAATGAAAGTGATTAATCTCATGACAAGACATGCCAGGACCTTCATAAACTTCACAATGTCATCTACACACTGCCAGCTGTTCCTGACAGATGCGAGGGGAAATTGTCACAGTTTTTGTTCATTTAAATTTAAAGGTTCGGAAATTCTCTAAATTCTCTAAGCAATTGTACACTTTGCTTTCAATTAACAAGATATTTAAATGAATTGAGGTGCTTATGTCATCCAGGCTGAGGATCGCTGGGACAAATTACAATTCTCTCCCCCCCTCTCCCCCGCATGTGTTTTGTGTGTGTGTGTGTGTGTGTGTGTGTGTGTGTGTGTGTGTGTGTGTGTGTGCGGTATAGAGGGATCCATGTGATAGTCACAGGGACGAGGACAATAACCCTCATTGTCAGGTGCATGTCACGTGGCTAACAAAAGAACCCGATTCCTATTAGATTTTCGTCAGCATGCTCTCGTGAACCAGCAATGCGTCATGTGCCACTGTAATCCCCATAACGAAGATGGTGCAGTTTCGCTGCGAGAAACTTGGGGAATGGGTCGTCAAGCCCTTATCGAAAACCGCCACCCATTGTCAGCAATGGTTTTTAGTTCCAATGTCTTGGTTAGAGCGTAGATAGATATCTTGTAAGGGTTGTAAGGATCATAATGCTAATCTAAACTTTTCGCTGCAGGTTGGCTTAAGATTAAATAATCAAGGGCCTTATGTGGATCTTGGGAAGGCATGTGCCCCATAGTCCTTATGGACTTCCAGGGGCCGGCATACTTCTATGCATATCTATGATTTAAAAGGGGGGAAATAAGGGAACAAGCTGTGTTAACAAAAATGTGGTTGGGGGGGGGGAGGGTTAATTATCCCTTTCAGAACCGCGGTTGCCAATCACTAAGTGATGGCAGTGTGGGAGTGTGCTAAAGTGGTGGCAGTGTTGGAGTGTGCTAAAGTGGTGGCAGTGTAGGAGTGTGCTAAAGTGGTGGTTGTGTTGG